TTCCCCTGCTACTTTAGAGAGGCAGAGGCAGCCATTAGTAGCTTCATCTGAAAGCAACCATACTGCACTAGGATTGGAGAAGGAGCTGCCAGGGATGGGCAATTATTTGGGCTGGAGGGCCACTTAAGGAGTTTTGGTGAGCTGTCATGGGCCAGGAGTGCGGGTGCTGACCCAGCCCAGTAGGAGGGGTTGGGGCGCAATGGAGTCTATCCATCCATCCCTGGGCCCATCTGCCTTGCATCCACTGCCTGGGGTACCAGACAGAGCAGGTGGGCAGGGTCTCCATGAATTCTGGCCTGGGACCTCCGTGGGCAGGGCATGGCTCAGGCCAATCTCCTTGGGGACCCCAACTATTCAGCTGCCCACTCCGTCCAGTGCCCCTGGTGGTGAGTGCAGGGAGGATTGGCAATGGCAGCCAGGCAGAGCAAGCCACCACTGCAGGGACTGCCAGGAAGCCACTGTGCACCCAGGGATGGCGGAACTGGCCACAAGTACCATGGCCCAGGCTATCCCCCACATCTGGGCCAGGCGGAGCCAAGGAACCTGCCTCAGGCCAGATAGAATCCCTTGGTGGGCCAGATCTAGTCCATGGGCCATATTTTGCCCACCCCTGAAATAGACAGAGGGAGTGGAGAAAAGGACTTCATAAAAGGGAAGCGAATGGGGAAATGAAGGGATGAAAAGCTGTGGGAAGATGGAAAGGGAAAACTTGAATAGGGGAATCTGAAAGGGAAGAAAGGAGGAGAAAGGAAGAACACAGATGGCAGCAGAGAACAGAAAAAAGAAATCCCTCAAAAGGGACAAGGATAAGGGAAAACCCTACCAAGAGAGATGAAGAGGACACACCAAAATTAGTAGAAGAGTAGAACCTTAGAAGGAGGGAACCCTAGGAAGAGAACCTGGAAATACAGAAGCATATGATGGGAAGAAACAGAAAAGTGCACTATCCCCAGATGCCTTCAGCATTTCTTGCTTTTTTTACTCATTTTTATTTTTGGTTACCTTGGTTTCTTCTAACTTTCAAATTTTTTTCTGAATTCTTACACCATACATTTGAGAAGTAAGGAGGTTCACTGGAAGTAAAACTTTTTTAATGCCTGCCAATGAAAAGCCAGTTTTCAACAGTGAGTGTACTAACTGCACACCCTCTATTCCAGTGTCTTTGTGCAAAGGCTGATATACACATGGCCATTAGTTATTTTCTTGTACAAATCTGTGATTATACAGGCAAATCTGTGATTATACTAGCTCAAGCATGTATGTTCAGTTTAGCATATATATTTTTCTTAGTGGAAGTTTAAACCCAAAACATTTTTTAAATAGCCTCAACTTAAAGTCCCACCTTGTGGGAAACCATAGACAAAGTGCCTTATCATGCCTCTTTTATGCATATCCAGGAAGTGAATTGCAGAGAGCATGAACAGGAAACAATATAAACTGCAGTTTACCATAGATATTGAGAATGAGTAATGAATTATGTTGAAAGTCCCTTTAAATGAACCTGAAATGCAAAACTCTAGCACTCTTGGTTCAGAGATGTTACCTTTTCTTAGTTGGTCTAAAAAAAGGTATTATCTCTGAACCCAGAGTTCTAGAGTTTTGCATTTTTTTTATTTCAGACTGACACAGCTACCAAATACATCCCTTTAAATGAACCTTGGTGTTTTCTAGGGATGCGAGGAGAAAAGAATTATGATTTGTGCTGTTTTAAGGATTGTTTTTGTTTGAAACCAAAGACTGAAATCCCTAGATTATCCCTAAAACAAAAATGATAGGAGGGATCCCTAGAGATTTACAGAATATCCTGCATCCCAGAAGGTGGGAGTGCCAGGCTAGTAGGCATCCCCACAGGGAGATAATAACACATTGAAAGTAGTCAGTCTGCTATTCACCTTTAGCCTCAGATTATTGACACAGGAAATTGAGACAACACACTTGTAGAAAAGGCAGCTCAATTTAATCAAAGTCAGAATTTAAGCTTACATCACGTAAGCATGGGCAAACACCCAGAACGGATTTATGTGAGATACAGAATATAGCTGCTAATAGGTGCCTCTCAGTCCCAACTCTTACCTTGAGGGCAATCCATATGGCATCTTATGTAACGCTCAGGTGTGTGGCAGCTGTGTCACACCTGATGAAATATAGTCACCAACTGCCACAATTTCAAGTAATACAATTTTAGCCCCTGCTCGTGATGATATAGTCCTCCCCTCTCCACCACCTCCCAGAGATGAAAAGATGGAGAAAGATGCTGTAGGAAGCAGACAGTCTTCTAAGGACCCAAGAAAGAATTTATGTGACAGAAAGGGGAAAAGAGGTAGCCAGCATACCAGCCCCTCAGGGTGTGTCTAATCTCTCCCTTCCCTTTCCCTCCTGTGGGCTCAGTCTGCTTTCTGCTCATCCCTTCTCCATCTGTATAACATGCCACCTGGAAAGGAAGAGTAGAGAGAACACCTGGAGCTGCCCTTTCCCCCTTCACCCCAGTGGGGTAAACTGCAGCTGCTTCAAGCTATGGAAGGTATGAGTAACCCTTGCAGCTGCTAAAGGAGTAACAGGTAATGGGCTTGTATGTATTTATGAGGCAGAATTAATTATTAGGATATGTGGTTGGTAGAAGTAGATCTGCACAGCTGATGTAGAGGCAGATTTGGGGTTGGGAGGTGCAGAAAGATTTGCTGGGCTACAGAACAGGCAGAAGTTGGGACGGTGAGACAAAAAAAAAATAGTTACTGTATTAACTCAAATCCAAGTCAAGGTCTTTCCCGCACAATGAACATGGGAAGGGAAAAAGCCTTGTCTTAGATTCAAGAACCAGCCCAGAACAAGGGGAGACTCAGCTCCAGCTATGACCCCAGGCTTGGGGCATTTGTGTAGCGGTGGAGGGGGCACAAGGTGGCAGGAACATGGGGGAGACGATGCAGTGGCGGGGGTGCATGGGGGAGACAGAGCATTGAGGGGGAGGCAAGCAGGGGAAACCCACGGTGTACAGCTTAGGGAAGCACAAGGGAGACTGCAAAGCCTGTCTCTCTGCTACCTTCCCAATCCACAGCCACTTGTTTCCACCACTGCTTACCTACAGCTCTGGCTCTGGCCCCACCATGGCCAGGCCCAGAGCTGCTGCTTTACTTCTCCCTGGCTCAGCTGGGCTGGGGCTATCATCCCTGAGTGCCCCTGAGCCAGAGGCAGAGCTGCTGCAGAAGATAAGCAGTAATAGGGAGAAGAGCATAGGGGGACAGGCAGCAGGGGAGAAGGCACAGGCCCAGGGTAGGGCAAGAGGAAGGAGGACAAGTGGTGTGGATCAGGCACAAAGGGGAGGCAAGTGGCAGGAGGAAGAGAGGACAGGGGTGCAGGCACAGGCATGGGGGGGGGGTTGGGGGGGCATATGGTGGGGGCAGGTGGCAGAGGAGGAAGGGACAAGCATTAATTTAGCATTAAAATAGGCTAATGCGCATTAAGCATCACTGAAAAGCTGAGCTCTTTAATGAATTAATGCTCCATGAGCATGGAACTGTGGGGGGAACAGACTGGGGAGCTTCTGGGAGATAAAGGTCTCCTAGCCCAAGCCCCACAACCATGGGGCTCAGGCTGGGAGATAAGACTCTCCCAGCCCCCTGATCCCCAAGTGCAATGGCTGAGTGGGGGCTGGGAGATAAATATCTCTCAGCCCCCACTGTGTGCTCGTGATCTGGGAGCAGGAAGACATAGTCCTCACCCTGGACTCCTGTACATCCCAGCAGCAGGCAGCTCCCAGGGGCAAGGAGCTATCTCCCACACCCTGGTAGATGGCTACAGATTTGGCTCCTGGCCAGGCATCTACACGAACTCTATGGCAGGACACTCTTTTGAGGGTACAGACCACTAGTGCAACACAAACCCAAGTTCTGGTAGATTTATCATTTAATCACATTCAGATCCCTCTCAATATTAAAACTTTCCTTTGACTGGTAGCACTAGAAGCATTCTTGTCTAGGAGTATAAATAAGTTTATACCCCCCACCCTACCATATTAAACATTTTAGTCATTCCATCCTGTTTTCTGCCCTTAATAAATCTAGTTGTATTTCTTCTTAGTCCTCCCCTATTTTGAATGCATTGTACCATGCTGTTGTCTGCATGATTAATGAGTCTTTTGCCTTCTTCAGATCATTTATGAAGATGTTAATTAAACAAGAGGTTCGCAATACTGACCCTCAGGACCCCCATTAAAATTTTTGCTACAACTAGATCCAATGCCATTTGCAAAACTGCTTGCTGTGTATAATCTGTTATTCCCTGATTCAGGCTTCTCTTTTATACAGCATGCTGTACAGTTGCTTTTCTGTTGGTGTACCTTCCAAGATACTAAGGAGAACTTCACACAAGAAATGTAAGCAATGGTAATCCGTGCCATGGTCTATTCATGAATTACCTAATGGAGAAGTTGGGCTATACAAAACAATTACTATATATTGATATTAAAATAGATATAGCCAATAAAAGAATAAAAGGGAATGCATCTTACAGATTTTTACAGCTGCCACTGAATAGAAAAGTACATTCCTAAAAGGTAAATGAAAAAAAACGAGTGTAGTCTCTATAATTTGTAGACAACTTCATTCAAAGTGAAAAATGAAAATGAAGTCTTTATTGTAGAAAGTCAAATAAAAGTGTAATTTTTCTGCTTGATGCTCAGATTGTATTACCCCAAGTGAACTTCAGTAAAAACAATAATTATCTGCTAAAGTGAACGCATTTGTTTCCCATTCATTACAAGGTTAGTAGTGTTCACATTGGCACTTTCATATTTCTCTCAATACATTTTAGGTACATGGCACTTTCATTTCAAGTAAATCTGCTTTTTAATGACTTATTCACTGAGCATTCAAAACCAAGAACAAGAGAAACAATATAACTTAAGCATCTGTAATTGGAAAAGTAAAATACAGGGAAAAAACTAAAGCATCTGAAGAAATTACAAGTCAAAAATAAAATAAACATAGAAGCAAAAAAATATTTACCTTGAATTCTTTTTCAATGTTGGCCAACTTAGCAAGCTCATTGCTGAGTTCTAGAGCAGTGAGAACTGGATCTTCACTGGAGAGGGACAGGTAGGCAGGACTAGCCAACCCTTTATAGGCATTTATCCTTGACCTGGAGTGACTAAAAGAATCATGCTTTTGCTTTTCAGTGCAGTCATTGCATTTGCAGAAATAGTCATGAGGTCTCTCTATCCTTGTTCCTTTCAGTAACAACATGTGTACAACCTCGTATTTCTGGCAGTGAGCAGCTAAAATGATTGGGGTGATATCAGGAGAAAAGCGGGTGCCATCTTCATCATAGGAATAAAAATCATCATCCTGGAGCTCCTGCTCACAGGGGCTTAGAGTCAGTCGCTTATTTGCTGCAAAACCAGGATGATTCAAAATTGCTTCTACTATCCTGATATACCCCTTGCTGATTGCAAGCAGCAAGGCATCTCCAATTCGTGCCAAGTTCTCTTTTTTTAATAGAAGTTCTGTCACTTCCAAATGCTCATTCCCCACAGCAAGCTGCAAGGCATTTTGGCCCATGTAGTCAACACAGTTGACATTCAGTGTTTTTGACTCCTCCAACATTTTGCGCACTACAGGAATGTTCCCATACTCTGCTGCATCCAAAAAACGCTCTTCTTCAGCAGTAAGGCTTGTACCCCTGTTGTTGAACATGAAAGCTGGGCCTCTAATAGCTTGCCGCCTTCCCTTCTCTCTCATCATTGTCATATGCCTTAGAGATGGACTTCCTTCAACATATCTAGTGGGAAGAAAAGATAAATTATTTGCAGAATAGCAATCCTTTCATAGGCATGTTCTTCCCCTGCAGTTACCAGGACTCATGACTTATCTCCTCTGTCGTGTGTCATTTGCCCATCTGTCTGCCTATATCTCTCTCTGTTGTGGTCCTTCAATCTTTATACTTGCACAGAGAAGGCTGCTTGGTGCAGGAGGGGTTACAAACCACTAGACTAGCACACGGATGAAAAGTATTCACTAGCTCCTTTTCTAGACACCCATTTCTCATCCATGACTATGGTATTTTGTTTTATGTGCAACACCACCTCCTTTCAGAAATATTGTTAAAGCATACTCCAGCAGGTATACAAGGAAAATAGAATTTACCATACTAAATCAGACCTTTGATAATCAAGTTCTGTATCCTACCCACAACAGTGGCCTAAACCTGATGGTTTAGAAGGCAAAAGTCAAACAAATCATCTTGTACCTCGTAAAATGCGAAATTGTTTAAACGAGGATGAGAAGAACCTTCCTACTTCCTGACCACTTTACATGGAAAAGACTGGTTACACATCTTTTAGCATGAATTGTTATACACGTGTGGCCAAATCTGGAAGATTTCACTCAATATTTGCTAACTTCAATCTGAGTTTGGCTAGGTAAAGACTGAGTCAAAAAAACAAGCAAGGCCTCTGGATTTGCTTTGTGGTATTGTGGTGACTGGTCACAGAAACTCCTACAATAACATTTTACTGAGTGACAGTTGATATGATTTACTAATAGAAAAAAATATTTAATAACAAACCATGTTTTTATTATTATGGTGGCTGTTATTATTAAGGTTGACTAACACTTTCCAGTATAAGTCCCTGTGCTTAGTTACTTAAGATTTTGCTAACATTTAACAATTGGTCTGAAATTTTGCATGCTGTCTGATTTCCCCCCACCCTTTTTTTTTAAATTTCAGCCAAAATAGAAAAACCACTTCTGAGAATGAACCTAAGGGGAAATATCTTTTGCTGTGTTAAATTCTGGCAATCTTTTCTTGGAAATGTTCTAGTGCCCCTGTGTTTTGAAATAGGGACCGGAAATTTGCATTTGGGGGACCTTTTTATCATGGATGTTCCTCATGAAAATGCACCAAGATTTAGTCAAGTTCTAAGTGTTTAAAATCAGACAAATCAATTCCAAATCCACAAGTCATTCAAGAACTATATGTAGCCCTGCTACCGGCAGTGGCATACTGCTCCATCCATGGCTGATTGCCAAGTGGGGGGGAGGGGTCCCCCAGTGGCTGATCGCTGAAGGGAGGGAAGAGGGGGGTCCCCCTGCGGCCAACTGCTGAGCCCGGAAACACCGGTGGCGAAACCAGAAGTGCCACGAAGGCCCGAGCCCAGTCAGCGCCCAGGGGCATGGCCCACTCCCGCCTCCCCCATTGGTATGCCACTGGCATACCACTGGCAAACCACCGGCAAGCATTCTCCACTCCTGCCTGGGCTCCAGATGCTTCCATATCCTTTGGCGGGTATCCTATGTGCAGGCACAAGCCCAGAGGCTTGGGGATTGACCGCTCCCGAGTTTCGCTTGCCCTTAGTTGTATGGCTGCAGAAGCCAGCTAGGAAGGAGTCTCCCATTTTCCATAAAGTTGGCATATAGCCAAGGTCTTCCCACTGGAAGTGAAAGCAGGCTAACTAAGGATTACCTCCTGCCACGTTCAGGAAAACCACCTTGGTGGTCATGGTATTTCATTTCCCCTGACAAGTGTTCAAAAATCCTCAATTCATACTCCATCAGTGGAGACCAATACCATAAGCAGGGAGGGGCAAAGGAGGGTGCCAGTTTGGAGGAGGTACACTGCTAGCTGCAGTGAGGCAGAGTGCACGGTACCAACCCCAGGCCTGACTCCAGGGAGGCAGTATGCAGGGAGCCAGTCCTGAGAGCAGCAGCAGCAGCAGCCACTGTCAAATAAAACTCTCCTGTGCTTGCCCCCTTTCACAACACCATGCCATTCCACCTTGCTCTCAGTTGCTTGACACAACACCTGCCTACACAGCTCTGCTCAGGGTACAAAACTCACTAGTTACACCTCTGGTGGAAACTTCTTAGATTATAGCAGCTACATTCCTAAAACACTGCACTGGCACTAGTCATACACCAGCCTGGGCTCCTGGGCACCACTGCAGCTCTGGGCTCCTGCCAACTGTGCTCAGTCTGGTTCTGGGCCTCTGAACTGAGAGCAAGGGAAACGCTCTTTCTTCTGCTCTCAGTGACCCCTTCCATACCCATCCCTCCCAGAAAGCACAAATAAGTTGCCTGATTTGAGTAAGCAGAGGACAGTCTTAAAAAGTGAAGTGGGGAAAACAGAAATACGGACAAGCAGGTGCAAGGCAGTAAACTGGTATTTGAAGCTTGCAGTGGTAGAGAGTAGGATAGGAAAAGAGTGAGCCAGGAAACTGGGACTGGGAGCCAGGAAAGAACGTGAGATTTTCTGTGCAGGAAGCTGAGACAGAACATGTAGGGTAAAGATCAAAATGAAAGGAGAGAGGAAACAGATCTCATACTCATTTGAGGGGTGATGGGAAAACAGAGACTGCTAAACAGAGAAAGTGGGACAGGGAAGTGTCAAGTACACAAAAACTGGATGAGGAAGGGAGATTGGAACTGTGAGCCAGTGAGGTCAAGAAGCCTGAGCATGGTGGATCACTAGAGGCCCAGGTACAAAAGAAAGACAAGGGAGATGGCAGGCTAGGAAGGAAGAATGCAGACTGGCTGAGTAAGGGGTCTGAGACTGGGATTAGGAGCCGGAGGAGTGGACAGTGGGATTGCCTAGGTGAGGAAAATGGACTGAGATGAGGAGCCAGAAATGAGACAGAACTGGGACTGGCATTGGGGCAAGTTAAAGGGATGGGGCAGAAAGCACTACTCAGAAGAGAAAGAGGACAGAATAATAGTATGTGCCCAGTAGAACACACCCGCTCCAGAGCCCAGATTGGAATGCAAAGTTCTAAGTCTCACCCTTCCTTTACAGCCAGCAAATACATCAGTGACACAGTGGCAGCACATCCCACCCCTCTCTGATCTAGGCCCATATAGGATGACAGCCTGCTATTGCTCTCAGTTTCTCTGTGAGCTCAAGTGCCAGAGGTCTGTGTGGTGGTGCATAGACTCCAGACCTAATGATGACTCATGTGGGTATCCATATGTTGCCACAGGTTGGAATTTCTGGGGGGTTTTTCAGTTTGTTTTAAAAAAAACAACTAGAAAATTATACCCAAAAATTTTACATTGAGATTATATGAAGGTACAAAGTCAAATACTCAAAAGATAAGAAAGGTAACATATTAATTTGTTTTCCTTATGTGCATAATTTCTTTAATTACATAAGCACAACTCTTTTTTCCTTGGTCCCCTGCCTTATTCAGAGCATACCATGTACGTGCTCTGGAATGAGTCAAAGATATGTAGTGAAAGGGACTGGTGTCTGTAGGATAGCTGCCTCACTTGTTGCAGCAGTTGGAAGGAGTGAATAAGGGAAGTACAGTGAATAAAGGGAAGGGGTCACAAAAAGAAAAAGGATGTTTTTTCCTTGATTAAGGCCCTGGAGAACAAGCCCAGCTTCTGCCACAGAATTCCTGTGTGATGTTGGACCAGTCATGTAAACCAGGCTCTCACAGGTGGTCCCTCAAACAAGTTCCTTATTTTCTGGGCATCTGGGTTGAGACCACAGGGTCTAATTTGCAAAAATATTCACCACCCCCAGTTGTAACTGAAGTCAATGGCAGTTACACTCTGAATGTACAAAGTGCTATGCAATCCAAAGTACTCTGAGAAAATCAGGTCCTAGGCATCCCATACTGGACACCCAAAGCTAGTAGACACTGATCACTGTGCCTCTTTACACTCTCTGTAAAAAGAAGATAATAACACTTCCTCATTTCACATGGATGTTATTACAATAAGAACCTTAATGTCCATGAAGCACTTTGAAATCACTGTCATCACCATCCTAAAAAAGGTAATGAAGAAATGGATATTTCTGTCTTCAAACTAAGGTTTAATAACATGCAGTAAATAAGGCACAGAGTTGCACATTGAACACCAAGGAGAAAACAAAATATAGACTAGGCAGCTCCTATTGAAGTGAGCACTGCATATTTTGTTCTCTGACTAGTAAGGATTAGTGTGGAAAAAACTGAGTATGATCATATACTTAAAAACTATCATAATAAATATGTACACAGGGGCATAATAGGATTGCAATGGCAACCTTAATTGTGCTTGACTTCACAATCTTAATAACATTCTTTTGAACACAGTTTATACATATATACGTATTGGTTCAACTGTACTGCCAAGGTTCAAAGAACTCCCTTTGATATCAGTGGGAGTTCCCTCAAGCAGCAGCAGTTCATTCAGACCGAATGACTTAGTTCTACAAAAATAATTCCATTCATGATGTAGAAATTCAGGCTGGTGTAGCAGCTGCCTTGGCTGCATTATATTTAGCAAAATATAAAATCTGTATAACTTCATCAAAGCTATAAGCATAATAAAAGCTAGTCTACCCCATGTACATTTTAGTTAACACAAATGAGCTGTTCCATTGCAATGCAAATGATGAGATTACAGTATTCATTACCAAGGGCAGGCTGCTCTTGGGACAAAAGAATTTGATCTTATATAAATTTTCAAGTGTGATTAGTATTTTTGGACTGCCATAGCAACTTGTGTGGCATTGCACAGTAAGCTTTGCTAAAACTCATATTTACCTTTTGTAAAATGTGTCACAATTGCAATGCCAAACATGACAGAACCGTTCTTATTCATTCCTGAATCTCTTTGCTTATGCCTATTAAAAAAGGCTGCCTTACAGAGAGGATTTGTGACTATGTATGTTAAGATCAGAACTGATTTATAACCTATAGCTCAGGCATATTCACATGTGAAGGCACTTCAGGTATGAGTTTTGATTCTGGAGACTATGTGGTGAACAGTCATAGTAAATTATCACC